GTAGGGTTCCCCAGACACCATAAGAGCTTCTCTCCAAATCTTGTCCTCAGCAGCAGCCCCGATTTTTGTTAAGCAAGAAAAGTGTTTGGGAAATACTACAAGGGGCATGAGGAGATAAGTCGAAGTTAGCCATGTTCAGGACACAACAATAACCGAGGATTCCTTAGCAGGAAAAAGTGAAGGGGCAAGCTTCTGAGATGTCGCCATGTTCTCCTGAGCTGATGGGAGCCACACAGGCCTGTTCACTTGTGGTGATCCACTGGGAGTTAAGGAGTTGTGTCTCCTTCTGAGTTATACTTCATTTAAGATACTCATTGAAGAATTAAAGAGTATTGAATACATTTAACCTACGCACTATTGGAAATGTTAGAGGGATTTCAGTGAGTTACCACAGGCTAAATAGAAGTCCATTTTAAAAATTTTTGAGAATGGCCTGGGATTTCAGCTCAGTTGGTGGCGTGCTTTTCTGGAATTCATGAAGCCCTGGGTTCCTCAGCACTGCACATAGCCACACCCTTGGAATCTTAGTTCTGTAGAGGCAGGAGGATTAGAAGTTCAAGGTCATTCTTGGCCACACAGTGAGTTCAAGTCTAGGCTAGGATATATGATACTGTCTCAAAAATAAAGGAAGAAAATATAAAAAGATATTATTACATTTTTGGCTGTCTGGGAAATAAGAGTTACAAATGGAAGCTTAAAATGTAAGGAAAATATTATTCAGCTATAAAAAGCAATGAAGCGCTGATTTGTGCTACAAAATGGATGTCCTACTAGCACGTCAGGCTGCATAAAGTGAACACAAAAGACAGCAGAGGATTCCATTTTTGTGGAATAGTAGGCATAGGTAGGTTCACAGCTATAGAGATCAGATTGGTGACCGGCGGAGCAGGAGGGAATGGGGAACAACAGCTCAATGGGTAGTTGAAAGAGAGCCATGGAAACATCTGGGGAGACACAAAGGATGCTCCACATCAGGAACACACCCACCACCCCTACCCTGTCCACTTTGAAATGCTCTTATGTGAATTTTACCTTAATTAAAAACCTAAGGAAGGTTAGATTTAGAAAATCAAAGTTTCATACATTCCATAGCATTTTTTAAAATCTCTAGGGGTGTGTGTCTGTGTGTGTGTGCCCAAACTATACTCAATAGCACACAAAGCCATCACACTTTCTTTTAGCTTTTAATGGGGGCTACGGGGGCTATTACTAGGGTCACGTTTGTGGTTGGGTGTGGGAATGGGAGTTTTGTTCCACACGCTATCTGAGATGGTTTACTGCCTCTGCGGGTCTAATTTCATAGTTCTCCAAAGAAGAGAGCATTGAATAAAGCAGAGGGAAATGTAACTGATGTAGTTTAAGGAACCATTTGTTCTTTCCTCCTGCCATTTGTTCAACCTGAACTTGATCCATTTGATATGGTCTCTCTGAAATAAATTCACTGCCAGGAAGGAGCATCTACAAACATCCTTTGATAACTCTTAAGTTCAAAGAGTAGCATTTACAGGGAGACCTTCATAATGATGATAATGACTTCCTACACAAGTAAGTGCTCTTTGGTCCTTCTACAGATGGACACTGAATTCACTTTCAGATTTAACTGGAGATGTTTGCTACCTTAGCACAGGAAGTTATCTTGGTCATAATGGGATGGGTTAAGCATTTCTGTAATTTTCAGAAGAAGAGAATAAATTCCATAATAAATCTGCTTGAAAACTCTTCCCAGAATCTGCAGATAATCAGGGACCATCACCTGAAGTGTGAACTCGGAGTAACTACAGCTGGACACTAATACTCATTTGCAACTAACATACAGGTCTGAACACAAGAAGATGGCCATTCTGATAAAGGCCAGTCCAATAGTAGAGGATGCCCTCATTCTCCTCAGCTTCAGTTGGATTGCATTCACTATCGGAGCTTGATCTGAAGTCTAATTAGGTTAGAGTTGATAGATACAATAAATAAAGTACAATGCACTCAATTAAACTGCAAGTTAGAGCAATGAAGAGATTTCTAGTATAAATGTGTTCCATGTGTTGCTTGCAAGATACTTAGATTTTAAAAACTCTAAGCCCAACTTCTACTGGCCATCCTTTATTTTATCGGACAATCCTAAATGTGTGTGTGTGTAAGAAAGATACAAACACACACACACACACACACACACACACACACACATACACACACACACAGAAAGAGAGAAAGAGAGAGAGAGAGAGAGAGAGAGAGAGAGAGAGAGAGAGAGAAACTGATTAATACTCAGAGAAAACAAAGCTTCCCCAGTTTATATGATCTATCACGCTAAGACAGCATAGTGGCTCATTTATCCTAATACCCAACAAACAGGTGAAACAATGATCTGAAATTTGGGGTTTCCTTTATCATGACTTTCTTCTCAGCTTTCATGTACTGCCTCCATCTTTTCTGCTTTATAACTCAGGGATTTCTAGTTAACCTCGTCCCCCCCACTTTGTGGTCATCTTCGTGGTTTACGTCCTCTGGCGAATCTGTCTCCCTCTCTCTCTTTTCTTAGGAGGCCCCTGAGGTTTCATTTTGTTGAAGAGTTTTCTCAACCCAAGCAGAAAGTAAATTAGGACTGTTAACCCACCACCACCTGGACCAGGTGCAGGGAGGGGGGCAGTGAAAACGTGAAACAAATGAAAAGCGGGGAAAATCTGTTTCACTTGCTGCTGTTTGTCATATATCACACAATATGGGACCTGCTGTGTCTGTGATATTTACTGCAGAAGCAAGCTTTGGGTAAATTGGGTGAGCCACTTGACCTCAATTTTTTTTCCAGAGTAAATACAAATAATCTCTACCGAAGGCCACTGGTAAGTTCTAATGAACAAAAAAAGAAAGGATATGAGTAATGCTTTATAAAATGATAAGAGCCATGATTATAAGAATTATTTTTCCTCTTGCAAGACCACAACTGATACAGACTTTGAGCTCTTTCAAAGAAATACTATCAGTATATTCTCTTTACCTCCACTTTGACCTCAGCCACTAGTCCAAAAGTGTTGACTGCAATAAGGAAACTTCATCAAGCACATCACGTGCCACCTCCAGCGTAAATCACGGGACCTTTCGGTTCCAAGGTCACTCTGCTTTAGGAATCACATGATGATCAAGGAGAAACAGGGATGAGTGCTTTTTTTTTTAAAGCTACCTTGAGTCTCTAGAAAATTACAACATTTCAGATGTATGAAAAGAAGTACTTGGGAGTTAAACACCAGGAAACATCTATCAAAACACAAAAGAAGTGACAAATTACTTTATAACATGCAGAAAAAATATGCATTTGAATGATCAGCATGAAATACGTGGGGAGGGGGAAGAAAACATTTCTAGGTAGTAAGCAGGAGATGGGTGACTACCTTATTCTTGGACTAAATCTTCCCAGACAAGGAACTTTAAGGGACTCAAAGACGATTGTGAAGTTCCTTTCCTTCTCTTACTAGCTTTTTGGATTTTTGCTTTTAACAAAGCACCACAACCCTGATGGCTACATCCATCATCTCGGAGACCTCCTGCTTTATTTTGCTTTCTTTTGTTTTTAAAGCATTCTTCTTGTTCTCTCACCTCTCCAGCTCCATGGAGAGAAACTGTGTCTCCTATCTGTTTCTTTAAAAAAATTTAATAATACTTTTTATTATTTAAAAGCTTCATACATTTATACAATGCGTATGGATCATATACACCCACTACTCCCTCCCTCCAACGCTCTCTAGTCTCCCTCCCAGTTTCATGCCTGTTTGTATTCTCACAGCCCTTGCATTTCATCCAGTTTTGCAAACCCAAGATACACTAATTCTGTCTCCCACAAAAGAGAATATGTCTCTCGGGAGCCCTTGTTGGAGGTCCCTCACACCTGCTTGACATCATGTGTCAGTGTGGTGGTTTGAATGAGAAATGCCCCCCATAGGCTCCTGCATTTGAACTCTTCCTGGTTTGGTCCCCAATTGATGGAGCTGTTTGGGGAGGTTCTGGACATGGAGGCCTGCTGGAGGAAGTCCCTCACTGGGGGTGGATTTTGAGTTTATAGCCTTGCTACATTTCTAGTTTACACTCTGCTTCCTATGGGTATGAATGAGACAGGATCTCTCAGCTTCCTGCTCCTACTGCCATGCTTTTCCTGCCATTGTGGACATCTAGTCCTCTGGAATCACAAGTCAAAATAAACTCCTTCTTTAGGTGCCTTTGATATGTTACTTTGTCACAGAAGTAAAGAGGTAACTAATTCAGTCAGTATTTGCTACCAGTGAAGGATTAGATCATAGGTTGAACAGATGCACACAAAAACCAGAGCTTGTTTAAAATCTTCCATTCATGTGTGAGTACTAAGTAAAAGATAGACATTAATGGGGAAGCCAGGAGAAGGAGGTCCTATGGACAGCCCAAGGACTATTTCTTGTTTGTTTAGCCTGCAAGTCTATTGAAAATCCTGGCCTTAATTTGCATTATAAAATCTCAACTACAAAAAAAAAAAAAAAAAAAAAAAAAAACCAAAGGGTGGGATGATGGCTCCACAGTTAAGAGTATTGACTATTTTCGTGCAGAGGACCTGGGTTCGGTTCCCAGCACCCACAGGCAGGTCACAATTTTCTGTTATTCCAGTTCCAGGAGATCCAAGGCTTTCTTCTAGTCTCCATGGACGCCAAACACACAGGTGGTACACATCCATATATATAAAATAAAAATAAACAAATCTTTAAAATAAATAACAAATGTCAGGGCTGGAGAAATGGCTCTGCAGTTAAGAGTGCTTGCTGCTCTTTAAGAAGATGTGGGTTTCATAGTCTGCATCCAAATGGTGGCTCCCAAGCATTTGTGACTCCAATTCCAGGGGATCTGATGCCCTGTCCGAAGTCAGAGACTTCCTCAAGCATTGCACACATGAGGTGTGCATACACACATGAAGGCAAAATACTCATACATATAAAAATAAGACAAGCAAACCTAAAACTAAAGATGTCTTAGCTGACAGACAGTCATTAGACTGGTCATGGGACTTGAGCATTCTCAAAAAGGACTTACCTAGAAGCAGCCCAGAAAACTAAACTTACTCAAGGCTGTAGATTAGTCACTCCTGTCAGGGCGAAAACCAAGTTGCCAGGGCACGTGCTTCCCCTTCTTGTGGACTTCCCTAGAGGAGCATGAGAACAAAGAACCTGAAAGAGACATCTGGTCCACCATGATTTGGAAGGGAAAAAGTGTGACCTTACTTCACCAATATGCGACCTGCCTCATAAATATTCATTAAAAAAATACAGGACCCTTATAGGGCAACTCACTCCAGTCTCTCCTTAGAGTGCTTCCTTTGCTTTGTTAAATAAACTTCTGCTGAAACTGGCTGTGTATCTCAACACCCCCCTCACAACATGAGCAAAAATAATAGAACATCTAGTTCTATTAAAAATGAAAGAGCTAAGCTTTAATATTTAGCACATGATTGACACTGACAGCTTGCCTTGGTTCATGACATTTGTTGACAGTGGTATCCTAGGGAGAGAGGAATTCTACTTAGAGCCAGTGATCTGGCATTGACACTGACCTCCATTCTCTTTCACTCTATTGCATCGAGTTCTGACATGTTGCAATTTGCATGTAAACAGTTACATGGATTTACTGATTCCCTTATTTAATTTTAATCCACAGAAATGAACTGAAGGCTTTAAAATATTCCTGCAGAGAGGCCATGAATTGAGTTGAATTTTAATAATAATGCACAAGGAAGCAAGGGGTTGGTGGGGCTGATCCTTTTCCTCCAGAATAAACTGAGTGACAAATTGTAGGTGAGGACAGTGGTGAGCTAATAGAGTAAATGGGTTTCTCTTGCTTAAAGATATTTTGTTTGCAATGGCAAGAAAAATTATATGACCATATTTAGTAGTATATGCATATTGTAAAAACTAACCACAAATATTTTGCAATTATAAGCTGAAAGGAATGTTATTAATAAGAATATGCAGCCAGCTGGGTATAGTGGGATACACCTTTAATCCTAACACCCTTTTAATCCCAGCACTCAGAAACATAGCAAAACCAGATGAAACTCAACAAGAGTATGCAATTGACAAAGCATGCTGCAGCCCTGCAGCCTCCTTCTCCCTGGCAACTGTGAGCAAGCAAGAGAACTGTGAAATAGGCCCTTATTTTTGTCTAGTGCCTTGGCACATAAGGTAGGTCAGCTAGATTCCATGGTAGGGAGCTCACCCACACCCCTGAGAAACACCTTTGTCCTCTGGAATTGGAGGCTTTCTCTCTTTCTCTTCAAGTCCCTATTATTATATATGGCCCTGGTTTGATACTAGCAATTCCAATATTCCAGGAACTAGACAGTCTGTCTCTTTCTCTTCAGGACCCCTAGGGTTTGTGGCAGCTATCTCTTTTAATACTCTCGTATTTCAGAGCCTCATTATGGCTGGCTATGGCCATGATCCTATAACCCTCGTAATAGTGTTTCTCTGAAAGGTAATTTCCTATTATCCCCTTTCTCCAAACCTGATTTTTTTAGTAATTTCCAACACATGCCAGAGGGGGGTCTCATAGTCTGGCAAGCACACATGTGCATCTTTCCCCAAATTCACACTCAATGACACACACACTATTGCCTGAACTTAGCCTTGATTGAAGGATTTAGACCAAAGACATCAGAAAACACAGAGAGAGAGAGAGACAGAGACAGAGAGACAGAGAGACAGACAGAGACAGAGATAGAGACATGGTGTGTGTATCTGTGTGGGTATATATGCATGTATGGAGGCCAGAGGTCAATCTTGGTTGCTATTCCTCAGGCACCTTCTATGTTTTTCTTTTTTTGAATCTGACTCTCACTGGGTTTCTACTAGGGTTTCTATTGCTGTGAAGATACACTATGACCATGGCAACTCTTTTTTTTAAATAACATTTTTTTTGGTTTTGTATAATTTATTTATTTGTATTTTATGTACATTGGTGGTTTGCCTGAATATATGTCGGTGTGAGGGTGTTGGATACCCTGGAACAGGAGTTATAGACAGTTGTGAGCTGCCATGTGGGTGGTAGAAATTGAACCCAGGTACTCTGGAAGAGCAGCCAACACTCTTAACCACTGAGCCAACTCTCTAGCCCCATCACAACAACTCTTCTAAAGGAAAACATTTAATTGAGGTGGCAGCTTGCAATTCAGAGGTTCAGTCCATTATTATCAAGATGGGGAGCATGGTGGTGTTCAGGCAGACATGGTGCTGGCTACATTTTTATCAGAAGATAACAGAAAGTGGACTCAGTATCACACTGAGCAAAGCTTGAGTATATCTGAGACCTCATAGCTTGCCTTCACAGTGACACACTTCCTCCAACAAGGCCACACCTACTTCAACGAGGCCATACATCCTCATAGTGCCACTCCCTTTGGAGGCCAACTTCTCTCAAACTGCCACACTGGGCGAGGCTGCCTCTCTCAGGCCTTCCCTGTGCTGGGTAAGTGTGTGCTACCACATTAGGGTACTAGATCACCCCATGTCTAGCTCACTTTAGTTTACCCAATTGGACACTTAAAGTATCTTCTCATTTCCACTGTGTCAACTCATGCTTTTCTACCATTTGCTTGCTGCACCATAGGCAGAAAAAAATTTAAAAATCTAATTTAAATTTACTTTAATTTTTAAAAATTTAAAATGTGAGCCAGATGAGATTTCCGTGTTAAAATACCTCGATTTCCACTGTTTTGAGGAATAAGAATTCAAATGTGTCCGTGGTGATATTGTGCTCCCCAAAATAGAAACTCTAACTAAGACAACTTGTGTCAAGGACAGTTTCCAACAAACTCAAAGTACCAAAAGAATGTGCTGAATCAAGGTCTATAACTTTCTATCCTTCCAATCTGCATCTCAGTCCTCAAGCCCCCTTCATGGGACTCTGGTACAATTCTTAACACTGAATCCAATCATGATCAGTTGTCAAGTCTAGATAGTGGTAATGGCAGTAGGCAGATTCCGGGATTCTAGAACATTTCTGTTTCTCTGTTCTCTCCCTCTCCTTTCCCACCCCCCAAACCTCACACACAAACATAACAAAAGAAAATAGAATGACCTAAGACACAGTTTGAGGCTATCATAAGTAACAAGTGAGAGAATAAGAAAAATCAATGGTGATTTTTTTTTAACTTTTAGCTTAAACAATAGGGAAGCCTGCAGAGCTCTTGCTAATTCTGGAAAGGCTGAGGAGGCACACATTTGGGGGTAAAAACATCAAGAATTATGTCTTCAACATTTTATGTTCAAAATGTCAGTCATTCAAGTGAAGCGATTAGGTAGCTGGTTTAAGATACAAATCCATACTTTAAGGAGAAGTCTGGGTTGAGATATAAATTTAGGACTTAATAACATTAATTTAGGTGTCAAATGAGAGATAACATTTAAAGCCAGTGGTCTAAACTTTTAGTTCTAATATTTCTAGAAGAGATTTCTACCCTGGTGCCAAATATTTTCTATTTCACAGTCCAGAACTACTCTTTCTGCCCTGCTTGCTGCCTCCTGGGAAATGTGTCTTAGTCTGTTTTCTGATACTATAAGCTTGGTAGCTTATCCAGTCAAGAGATACATCTGGTTCATAATTCTGGTGGCTGGAGGTCCAAGCATATCCTGGAAGGGTCCTCTGGCTAGGTCCTAACATGGTAGAGAAACAAAAGAAAGGAATAGACCACACCCATTAAGGGCCCTGCTTCATAACAACCTGTTCCTTAGAAACTCAATCTAGTCCTGTAAGAGACCTCAACCCACTCCGCAAACCCCTAGGCAATGGACCTCATGATCTAATCATCTGCCATTAGGCTCCATTTCCTAATGTTTCTACTACTCTAACACCATATGTTGGGATTCAAACTTCCAAAACATGAAATTCTGCAGCACAAAGCACATTTAAACCATAGCAAAATGTATGTATGTATAGAGCCATCAGTGGGCTCCCCAGTCCCGGTTTGGTTGAGTACCATTTGTGAGGCCTCTGCCCTCACTCCCAGGATACAAGAGAGAAGCAGAATGAGGAGGTCTGTTGGTAGTCCCCTCTGGAGCCAGCTCACAGGTTTCTGGTTCCCTCTCAAGATGGCTTCCTCTGCTCACCTCTTCAGAATCCCATCACCTTCCTTTTTTCCCTTTCTGGCTCAGGGCTCAGTGAGTAACAGCTCAGCTGAAGCCCCGGCACTGCAGAATCTTCCACAGTCCCTGTGTCCAGCTCAGACATTTGTAAATAGCCCATCTATTGAATGAATGTTCCTCAAATCATCCTAAGTTAGAACTCTGCCCTGAGCCAGGTGGTGGTGGCACATGCCTTTAATCACAGCACTTGGGAGGCAGAGGCAGGCAGATGTCTGTGAGTTTGAGGACAGCCTGGGCTACAGAGTGAGTTCCAGGAAGGGCACAAAGCTGCACAGAGAAACCCTATCTTGAAAAACAAAAACAAAAACAAAAAACCAAAAAAAACCCAAAACAACAACAACAACAACAAAAAACCTCTGCCCTGAGTTTCCTCTTAGGTCCCTGGATAACACACCTACCTTTCTCCTCTTGGGAATCATACCAAAACAGTGAGAGCAATGAACAAAAGGACAACCATCCTGTCTTTTATAACCACAAATTGCACTTCTTAGAAAAGCGGGTGGAGAGCAGTAAATGAATTGGTACAGCTTAAAAAGGCCAGGCGTGGAAAGCACCATGTTCTCTGGGAGGCAGAGAAAGAGGCAAAGGATGAAAACAGGAAGATGACTTACGAGGTTCTGTAGCCTGTTACAGATCCAGGTACTCACTGGACTCACTGTCAGCCCCGCTCATGCAATACAGGAGGTCTATTTCCTAGAGAAACCAAACGAGAGAGAGAGAGAGAGAGAGAGAGAGAGAGAGAGAGAGAGAGAGAGAGAGAGAGAGTCGTGATTGGCATGCAAAGAGGAGGCTCCAAGAGAAAGATTTCTCGGAAACTCAAATGGATCAATTTCCTGACAAGTTTTGCTGTATAGAAAAGGCTTTTCAATGACTTTTTCCAGTTCTCTGGGTTTTCACGGGACAGCTTACAAGTTCAAAAGAAAACACAAGTATATTTTAAACTACAGGCAAAAGCAAAAGAACAATGATGTATCTACGGGATCAGGACTAAATTTCATCTTCCTAATACTAAAAAAGAGTTTAGCATAGTGCTATCATGAAATGAAAGCAGATGGCTTGGGAGGTACTGTGACTAAAGGGGAACCTGCTTCTATTGTTTTGCTAAATGGACATGTTGAAAAACTGCCTTCTAAACGTTTGCACAACAGTGCTGCTCTCCATCTTGGCCAGAGTAACTTCTTCCTATAGTGAGGATCAGTTAGTGAAGCGGCTCATAGCTAGGTAACACACTGAGCATGAGTGTCTGTAGGGTGCTCAGCCCTGAAGGGGACATCCATATCAACAATGCCCTTCCATGCATGGCTTGGAAAATATCAGGGGAGAAGGGTGGAAAGAATGCAAAAACTAGAGGATTGAGAAAGCACCATGAAATGCTGTCTTCTGGACCATGCCATGGCCAACTCACTGCAGCTGTGGTTACCTGTATGAGACCTGTACAAGATCAAGCCCACCAGATCCTTTAACATTCTAGCAGGTGGCACTAGCTGGTTACAAAAAAAAAAAAAAAAAAAAAAGGTAGAGGATGTTGGAAGGGGTGTTTAGGAGGGGAGTGAGAGGAGCAGGTTGGGGTTGGGTACAATGAAGATGCATTGTATTATAACATGTTTGAAAATATCGAAGAACAAATAAAACAAATTTGGAAAAAAAATGAACATAGACTATGACCCACCAATTCCACATAAACATATTCTGTTTTGTCTTCAAGTTCTAGCAGAATGTTGATTGACTTAGCTGTGGTTGTCCTGAACCTGTGGGATGCAGTACTGTCCCTAAAGCTCCATTGTTCATGCTAAATTTATGGCAGTCATCCTTTGCCACATTAAGGGAATATTTTTCTTCTCTATTTTAGCATGAGGAGTTTTATATGTTAATCAGAAACAAGGGTTGAATTTGAGAAAACCTTAAAAAGCATAAATCAATGTCAACTTCAATTTCCTCATTTGTTAAATGTAGAGAATTACAAGAAAAGGTCTCCAAATGTTGCTTTATCCTACATTCCCGGGACTAAATCATGCAGGGTGGGAGTGGACATTTTCTTGGTAATATATTATTTAGCATGGTCATTTGCACTCCTGGTTCTGTGATTTTTCTTGTTCTAGCTGTCTGTGTAACAAGTTGGGAGGCTTTCCATCTTTTCTCTATTTCTGAAATAATTTATATGAAGTCAGAATTATCTATTTCTCGAATGTTTGACAGAACTTGCCTATAAATTGTCTGTGACTGTAGCGTTTAAACAATAGATATTTGATTGCCTGTTAAATTATTTTTATAGGTATTGAATTATTCAGTTTTTCACCTTTTCTGTCTACTCAAGTCAATAGGAAAATTTTATATTTTCCTGGAAAATAATCAATTTAATCAATATTTTCGAATACAATGCTATAAAATTTATACAATCTATTTTAATTTTAAAACCCGTTGCTAAAACTTTAGTTTCTTCACTGTTTTTCCTTAAGGAAAAACCCTGTTTTCTCCCCATCTCCTCCCCTCCAGATGGCCTCAAGTACCCTGGGGTAACCTTGAACCCACTGAGTGCCCAAGGATAATCTTGAGCTTCTTATTCTCCTGCCTCTGTCTTCTGAGTACTGACATTACAGATGGGTGACATCACTCCTGATTTATGGGGTGGTGGTGATTGAACCCAGGGCTTCATGTCTTCTAGGAAAGCATTCCACCACTGAGCTACATGCCTAGCCACTACTTTTTCTCTTATATGTTTAAAAGAATTTCCAAAATTGTTTTTATTTAATGGTATTTGTATTTATTTTATTCTTTTAAAATAATTTGGATTTTTTAATTGACCAAGCCATATTTTATGTTTCATCAAATTTCTACTTTTTTTTTTTTTAACAGACTTAATCCACTTTATTTTTCTTGTATAAAAAACCTTTATGTGGTAACCACAGCTGGAGCCTCAATCCTCTGAACTGAAACTCTGGTGTGGAGTTTCACAAGATGGCCACCGAATTCCTGATGAGGAGACTTGGTGAATACATTTTCTTTCCAGAGGTCTGGGGTGGGGGTGGGGGGATGGAGGATGAGGGGGGAGCAGGACAAGTAGCTGCATGTCTTGGAGATGGCATCAACGGTGGCCTTGGCAAAGTTGCCCAGGGTGGCAGTGCAGCCCCTGGCTGATGTGCAGCAGTCATCAATACCGGCCATCATCAGTAGCTTCTTGGGCTCTGGGGTAGAGACCATGCCAGTGCCTCTGGGGGCAGGGATGAGACGCACCAACACAGAGCCACAGTGGCCTGTCACTTTGCACAAAACAGTGTGGGGCTGTGACAATCTTGTTCCCCCAGTAGCCTCTCCATACAGAGATGGAAAGCTTGGCCAAGATGATGGCCCCTCGGATGGCAGTGGCTACCTCCTTGGAGCACTTAATACCAAGACTAACATGACCTTGTAGTCCCCAATAGCAACAAAAGCCTTAAGCCTGGTCTGCTGCCCGGTCTGCTTCTGCGCTGGCAAGATCTTTAGAACCTCGTCCTTTAGGGATGCCCCCAGGGAAAAATCAATAATTATGGATTCCTTAATGGGCAGTGAGGACAGGTAGATCTCCTCCAGGGACTTGATCTTCATGTCCTTGACCAGACAGCCTAGCTTGGTGATAGGGATCCACTCCTTGTCTTTGTCTTTACCTCCACTGAGCCCCGAAGCCTGGACCATGGCTGCAGCCTTCACCACAACTGTCACCCCTAAAACCACTGCCAAATTGCTGTGGGATGTTCTGTATGGCAAATGTGTTGCTAATTAGTCAATAAATAAAACACTGATTGGCCATTGGCTAGGCAGGAAGTGTAGGCGGGACAAGGAGGAGAATAAAGCTGGGAAGTGGAAGGCTGAGTCAGAGAGACACTGCCAGCCGCCATGATGAGAAACAGCATGTGAAGATGCCGGTAAGCCATGAGCCATGTGGCAAGGTATAGATTTATAGAAATGGATTAATTTAAGCTGTCAGAACAGTTAGCAAGAAGCCTGCCACAGCCATACAGTTTGTAACCAATATGTCTCTGTGTTTACTTGGTTGGGTCTGACAGCTGTGGGACGGGCGGGTGACAGAGATTTGTCCTGACTGTGGGCCAGGCAGGAAAACTCTAGCTACACCAAATCCTCCGCAGAAGCCTCCTAATCTTGCCACCTCCAACCCCCATTCCACCCCAGCACCAGCATCATCTACCATTTGGTATTTTCCCAAAGAAGAAGAAGCCAAAATTCTACTTTTATTTTCCTATTTTTCTCTCTATTTTTTTTGTTCTATCCAAGTTTTCTATGGTGAATGACTAGTTCATTTATTTTTTTGAAGTCTGCTGTAGTTCTTTTTTAAAATTAATTATTTTTATTTTGTGTATAAGTGTTTTTCTTGCATGCATGTCTGTGTATTACATGTGTGTCTGGTGCCCACAGAAGCCAGAAGAGGTTGTCTGATCTCCTGAAACTGGAGTTACAGACCATTGTGAGCCGCCATGTGAGTGCTGGGGATTGATCCTGGCTCCTCTGGAAGAACAGCCAGAGCTCTTAAAACCCTCTTAAACCTCATCCCTCCAGCCCATAGCTCATTTATTTAATCTTTCTCATTTTCTAATAGATGTATTTAGGCTACACATTTTGCCTTGATATGCCTAACAGGTTTTGACTACCGAGACAATTTGTGGCTACTCTTCTCACTAATTTGTAATTTTAGTATTGATGTATTTTAAAAGCCAAGAATTATCAAAGATTGCTTAAATAATATTCAAGAATTCTTTCCTTCTTTGGTGTAAGTGTGTGTGTGTGTGTGTGTGTATGTGTGTGAAGCTGTACCCATGCCATCGTGTATGTATGGACGTCAGAGGACATTATGTGTCAGTCCTCAGCGGTCTTTTTGACTGGTGTGTGTGCCAGGCAAACTGGCCCTCAAGCTTCAGTAATCCTCCTGTCTCTGCCTCCCAAGTACTGTAATTACACACGTGAGCTCAAGTAACAGACTGTTTTAAAGATTTATTTTCATTATTTTGTTATTTTATGTCTATGTGTGTTTGTGTGTTGGAGGATGTGCAAGTGTGTGCAGGTGCCCAAGGGGGCCAGAGGCACCGGATCACCTCGAAGCTGAAGTTATAGGTAGTCATGAGCTACCATGTGGGTGCTGAGAACTGAATTCTGATCCCCTGTAAGAGCAACATGTGCTCTTAACTGCTGAACCATCACGCCAGTCCATCAAGAGCAGATTTTTTTTAAGTAGCTATTATTGTGATAAATATGATGAACGGTTATGTGCAAGATGTAATCACCCCTTATGTTCCTATGAGATACAGCATTTGTACTAGCTACTTCCCATGTCTAATGTAAAAGTCATCTACGTTTAGTGAGATCATAGATTATATTCTTACTGTGCGATATTAAAAGCCTCTTGTTTTGTTTTCTATTTGCAGAATCTCAATGAAAAAGTGCTGTTCAAGTTTATTTTTCTTTTGTTTCATGACAAAACAGGGCTCTCTAAGCCCCACACTTCAGTGGGTCTGAAGTAGAAGCTGTAAGAGGGAGATTGTTACTTATTTGGGCACTGAGTTGATGCAGGGCCTCCCAGGAGCTGAGGCCTTGCTCTTCCCCTTGGGTTTTTGCTAGGGTGGGTGGGTAATCCAAGTACTCTGACTCCTTGGAGGCCATATGGCCATGTGGACCACCTTGTTGACTATAGTCAGATCAACAGTCAC